GATCTTAGGGTCAAGGTTGCCTTGGAAAATTTGCGTTAGAGTTTTAGTTGTGTTTTTTGTTTTCATTGGCGTATATTTCCTACGCCTCTTGATGGATTAGACAATATTTGTAGCTAACTTATTAAAAATCTTAGATGTTTTATTATGCGACACGAATTCTCCCAACCAATGTAATCTTGGGGTCAAGTTCTCAGTCCTAGGAATCTAAGTTAATAGTTGGTTGAATTTATTAATTTTCTTATATTTCCTCAAACTTTTGATGGATTGTTTTGTTTGTGTGTTTTATATTTGATGAATTAATTAAAAACTTAGTTCATTCTATAAAAAATTGTTCCCTCTTTTCCTTTGACCTTGGCATGACCTAATTTGTTTTGCTGGTCGCACGGCACATTCGATTATACATTGGTCCTGCGTACACCATCCGATCTCCATCGTCCTGGGTAATTTGTCCTTTATCAGCTGGTTGATATCCCTTCTCCTCCTCCACTACCTCTAAACTGACTGAAAGAATCTATGAAACTTGGCTTACAGACGTCTAGATGACCACGACATAAAAAAGATGCTGCTCCTCAGACATCCAGCATGGCTGCCCTGGATACCAGCTTCAGAAGCATATCACTTCTCCTTCTAAAACGATAGGTTTTTCACTTTTGGTGCTTGATAAAAAAAAAATGGTGGTCATTTAATTTCCAGCATGACACTACAGCAGCCATCTAGAAAAATTTATTATAATTCCTTCCTTAAATAAATCGTCATAATGAATGAATTAAAATGGTTATTATTATATTTAGTTGGTCCGAATGAAAATTGTGTTGATCTGAGTCCCAACATTGTCAGCAAGGCAGCCATCATAAAAAGTCTTGTCAGTGCTCCTCGTGAAAAGATACTAATTTTGACACTAGCTTTCCCCTTGACATTTTCTTGGGATATGTAAATGTTTCATGACGATAACCTTGTTTGGTGCCACTCTACCTTTGAATGGTTACTTTAAATGCTTCCTTCTGACGTCAGTCTTCACGTAACTGACTGAGAATGATATTAAGTTCGTTCACCTGGAAGATGGTGCCATCTGAATTCCATTATCAAACTCATGGCAATCATTTTGAAAATATTGCTTCTGATGGTCCACCAGCACAGATGGTCATGTCGACATAAGTTTTCCTTTCAAATCGTTTGATGATAATGCAGACTTCTATGCAACCGACCGGACATAAACTGTGACTACCAACATCTTAAAAATATTTCTTATTTGCAGTCCTGAAAAATATGGAATTAATCAATTGTGTTTTTACTAGACATCAATTGTTCTGGTGGACTGGTGGTTATCTTTGATACTTGAGGTCGCGGGTTCGAATCCCGGCTGAGTCATACCGGCGACTTATAAAAATGGTACGAGCAGCTGCCTCGCTAGGCGCTCAGCACTAAGGGGTCATTATTATGACTGGTCGGCTTGGTGTTAGGGTAATATGACTGGGTGGGACATCATGCTACGTATCTCCGCATTATGCGCCAGTGCTAAGCTTCGCTATACACTGTCACACTTCAGATGTCGTAGTTACGTGGCTAAAAAAAAATCGTTGAAGCTACGTCAAAAATCTAAAACACACAGCTGCAATGATCGTAGCTTTATAGTACTTCCATTACGTTGATTCCTCATTAGACTAGCCCAAAGTAAACGCGGTTATCGGCCCTGAGCGTCTGAGCTCTATACACGAGTCTAATGTTACTGGTCAAGTTAGTGTACAATTTGTATCCAAGCTAATAGCATACATTTGGATTCAGTATTTCGTAATTTTTCTACGATTTTCTGTTTGTTTCATTTCCATTTTATTTTTTTTATATGTAGGTCTCGAAACTCCGGGTTTTTTTTATACATTGTAGCTAAAACTAAAGCATGACAGAGTAAAGGAAAATATTTTTGTTCTTATCTAGCCCCTTTAGGAGATAATTAACAATACAGAAACAAAAAAGGACAAAAGTGCGATTATATACTCAAATCACATCACATATACAATAGTGACATTACAAATCGTGACTGTTATGATAGTGTTTGTTGTTATCGTAGGAGGAATGGAAAAATGGTTTCCGTTTGGTTTTAGATTTTGGGTTTGAACGCCATTTTCATGAAAACTAGGAGGAGGAAGAATCCAGGAAACCCCCAGGAAGAACCAACCTTCGGGAAGCTACTGACGAACATTCTCTGTAATACACATTGGCCGAACAGAGACTCTGTTTGCTTGCTCATATGTATTATATATTATAGTCATGTATATACTTTCGTGTTTTATGACTTTAAGCCCTGAAAAGGGCTAGTGGCCTCCCCCCTTCCGGGGCTGGGCTCACCAGTGTCCAGTGCTGACACTTTTGCCCCGGCGCGTGGGCCTATTACCCCCCCCCTGGTGGCTCACCGCCTTAGCCGGATGTTATTTTTCGATAACGTTGCTATCCAGGGAGGCGCTTAGCCCTAGGGCTGGGCTTTTGGTCGTGGTGCTGACCTTTATTAGCTGACCTTAAGACCTTTGGTTGGCTGCGTATTGTAACAGAGCGTACCGGCCTTCCGCCTCAACTCCCGCCTACTAAAGTCCCCCAATGTCTAAGTTCAACTAACTTTATCTCAGGTGGATTATTGTCAAATTTAACCAGTTTTTCCTACGGGTGTCCCTATACCAATGATGTGTTAGCCACCTATTCAATTATCCAAATGTTCCTGAGTTGTGAATTTGGAATATATTTTGATGAGGTTGAATTTTGCGTACTTAGCGTATTTATATGGTTCTAAAAAAAGAAATCAATCTCTAGGTGTATGTCACCTAATTTTGACAGTTATCACAGCTTTGACAATGTTTGGTTTTTAATTTTGACTGCCTTTCCAAAGGATCTCGTTTTAATGTTGGGTCTTCCAGGCCAAAGTGAAGACATAGGTTGTAGGCTTATTTTCGGACAGTTGGTCGCGCGGCCTCGACTGTCCATCGCTAATCGGTCTACTCCGCTCCTGGGAGTTAGGGCTATCAGGGGGGAGGTTCCTGATTTTCCCTTATCGGCCTTGACCTTTTTGTCCTTGTCATGGTGGGAAATCTTATCCTATATATAGTGCTTATAGGAGTCAGGATCCACCCAGGCTTGTGCTAGTATGAGTCCTAGCGCCTGTTTTATGTTATGGACTAGGTATGGTGCCTGCAGTTATGTATATGTTTGTATGCGGGGATGGGTTTTTAGGGTTCCGATACAGGCTTTTTGAATCCCTTTTGTTTGATATTGATGATTTGTTCTTGTTGATGGTTTGTTGTAGGCGTCTCTTTTGATGTTGGTTCCCCTCCCCCCTCCTATGAGGTCCTGAATCCTTTCTTCTTTATTCTTGCATTTTTGATTTAGTAATAATATTGGATGATTCAAAATAATAAGGTTGTTGTCTCGTCGGTTTTGATTGGATGTTAAAAGCCGAAATTTCAATTCTAATCTAGTTCAATTTTGTTTTCTTTTTAGGTTTTTAAGAAAATTATGTTTTATGGTATTGTATTCTCATTATGTTCTTAGTTGTAGTATTATAGATGGTTATCAATACTAATTAGAGTATATATAGTTACTATAAGGAAAATTAAAATTCACATACAGTAAATGTATGTTATAAATAGTTATGATTATTGTTATGACTTAACTATTTATGCTTATAGCTAAGGCTAAATTGACTAAAGATAAGGAGTAGTAATTGCAAGGATTCTTATTACAATGGATATAAATTATTCTTTTTTTGTTTTATATTTTATAATAAGTTTAATAAGTGAGCATAGAATCCATGCTGGCAGATATATGATGGCAATGATCGGTAAAGGCGAGCACCTTTAGCCGCTGGGTCATCCGTGACTCCAACGATTTCGGTCATTCGGCTACTACTACAGAGAATACGACTCGCATAAACGGTTAAGTGGTCGTACGGAGTATATTCCGACTGATTGAATAACACAACCAATTTAGAAGGCCCTGGTTTCGAAGTCTTGGAGCAGGCTTAGTCAGGGTATATGCCACGTGTTGCATTATCTAATCTTGATGGCTTCCTCTACCATAGAGATAAATAGTTTACTTCCGGTTTCTGGAGATAACGTGGTTTAACGTACACCTAAATACAGTTTGATTTTAAGATACTTGGTAAATATTGCATCGAAAATACGGAACAGTCTTTCAAAGACATAATTAAGGCGCGAATTTGTGTTTCCGGTGAAGTAGGTCAATGGACAAATTATGAATTTATTAATTCACTCATTCATTCGTTCGTCATGCATTTGTTCTTGTTGCCACTTTAGATATTTAATAGAACGAGAGACAAAGCAAATCAAAATTATAGACAAAACACTTTAGAAAATAAATAGTCCTTCCTCATGAGATTGACTATTTCACGCAAACCTTCTGTAGAAAATAATACAACTTATCACATGGGAGGTATGGTTTTCCTATAATATGTGCAGTTCCATATTTTTGATATGAACACACGCTAAAATATCACTTATTGTGATTCTGATTGGTATGATAAGCACACGAAATTATCGTGCAGTATCCTCTTTAATAATTGGATGGGATCGTGGGAAAACGGTTCTAACCCCGCCTTCTGGAATGTTGTTTTTTTTAATGAACATTTTTGGCAAACATTTTTTAACTCGACTCGAGAAAGGAAATTGAGGAAAATTTTTTTCGGCTGTCTGAATATGGATAAGTTACCCAGACAGGAGTTTGTCCTGTTGTGCATAACAATATCAACATAAGAAAAATGACGTAAAACTACAAGACAAGAACAATAAAAAGTAAAGCGACGGGTATTGTTGGTGTGATAGCAGGTGGTGGGGTGAGGGGTAGGGATAGGGAGCGGTATATATATATATATATATATATATATATATATATATATATATATATATATATATATATATATATATATATATATATATATATATAATCCACCGTATATACAAGTGTGGTTTAAATGTTATCTTACGAAAGTAAATAACCGCGCTCCTATGGCCTCAGTGGTTTTAGAGCGTCCGCCTCGGATGCGGGAGGTCGTGGGTTCGATCCCTTGCCGAGCCATACCAAAGACTTATAAAAACGGTACTAACAGCTGCCTAACTTGGCACTCAGCATTGAGAGGTTAGTGTTAGGATGGTCAGCCTGGTGTCAGGATAATGCGACTGGGTGGTACATCATGCTACATGTCCTCGGCATGATGCCCCAATTATAGACCTCACTATAAACTGCCACACTGCAGACATCGTAGCGATATGACTGACAAATTGTTAAAGCTACGTTAAAAATCTAAATCACACATACACACACACAGACAAGCAAATAAACCCACCTCTGTTCACAAAAGAATCTGGGCATAAAGGGCATAAATGGGTAACCTAAATGACAGAACTTTGTCCAATCACAGCATCTTTACGCAGTATATAAGGAATGCAAATCTGACTAAAAATTAAATTTGTTTACGTCTTCTGTACAGTCTCTTTTTCCAAATAAAAAAATGCAAATATCCAGTTACAAATGCATTGCAGTAAATGTGGGAATTTTTGCATCCAGTAATACAGTTTCACATGAAAATTGCAAAAATGTAATGTTTAGTTCTGAAAGTGATATTTTAGGGTAAACATGTATTCTAGGTCTACCGTGTGCCGTATCAAACAATATGGCATCACATCGCGTTGATCATTCTGATTTGTTGTTATAAAATGTTCTATTTATTAGGATAGAAGCTTTTTCTTTGATGTATAGTTTGTAAAAAAAAAAAAAAGGTACACTTTACTTTTACTAGTTCAACTTTGTTTCGGACTATATTTTATGCACAACAAAAGGTGCGTCGTTTGTCAGAATGATCGAAATTATTCGTTCTTTTTTCTAAACAATTTCCATTGAAATAAAAACTATGTGATAAAAAGAATCTCAAATGGGTAATTATTTAATTTTAAATTTATTAAACTCATTGAATAATGTCCGCTTTTGCTCGCCAGGGTCTGCAAAAGCATGACATTATTCAACTCGTTTCATAAATTCAATATTAAATCATCACCCATTTGAGATCCTCTATTTACGTCATAAAATAGTTCAAGACTTTGGGGCAATTTAGTGCACATGTTTATGGGATCTCCCTTCCAAATAAATTCAATATCTGGTAACACAGTCTATTATTATTAGTATACGTGCAACAACATCAGTGTAAGGAGTACTGCAATGACGTCAGTGTTAGGAGTACTGCAATGACGTCAGTGTTAGGAGTACTGTAATGACGTCAGTTATGGAGTGTCGCATTGCATGGAGTGATCAGAAACTTGGCTAAAAATGTAAGTTTTTTGGTCGACCGCATTATTTGCTGAAAGTGGAATGCTTTATGCAGTGAGGAAAATTTATAGACTCTCTGATGGATGGATCATTAAAACGTGTGTTTCGGGTGATTATTTGCATGTACATTTACAGAGTTAACTATGTGTCTCCATCCCTTATATATTGCGAGAGAGACAGACAGATAGTCAAACAAACGCAGACAAACAGAGACAGAGACTATGGCAAACGCATCCCTTTTGTTTCATATAATTATTTCTTTAAAGTAAGGCACACAACTTCATAAAGATTAATTTTTTAGACAACGTATTCTCAGGCATCGACACCACTTGCAAAAGAACTTCGGGCTTTCTTTTACCAATTCTGCGACTATTCTGTTCATTCTAAACCAGATTTCGCTCGCTTTAGGTCCTATGTGAATAAATGTGCTTCAAGTATCGGTGATGAAATACATCAGGTTCTAAAATCCAGCAATTGTAACCATAGGAATCAGTCTTTCTATAGACGCTTACAACGGTCAAAGGGGTTTACTCTGTTCTCTCAAATCCAGACAAAGAAATAAAAAGATTATTGTCTTCATGAAGGTGCCTGTTTTACACTTTTACTGCCCAGTTAGCGTTAGAATAATTACACATGGTTTTGCGTGGTTCAATCAATAATATTCCATCTTAAATTCCAATCCTTCCTCTATTTCTTTTCAAAACGATGCTACGACTCTAAGCCTCATATTTTTTTTTTTTTTAAATTTCAGGTTAGGGTGTGCGACATCACGCATTGATTGCAAGCTGGTATGCGTTTTCGCTGAAAGACTATTTTCATCGGCTAATACAGGTTATCTGAAATGGAAAAGGGGCCCCGGACCGAACAACACTTTGGAATTTTATAAAAGACAATTTTTTTAATATTAAAAAAACCCCCAAGAACAGGAAGAGGTCTTGGTGTTTCTTTTACCCCAGTACCAGTGATATCTATCTACGGCCCTGATTACATGCAAGTACTTGATATTAATTCACTATCGGGAAAATTTTGTACAAAATTCCTTATGTCACACGATATCAAACACATTTCTTTACCTATTGTGAAATTATTATGCAATTTTTATTCAACAAAGCATCAAACTATTTGGATCCAAAATTGAGTTTTCATATCTAGAATTAACTATTTTATTTAATTTTTTTTCCCGACGCAATCAATTTAATTTCCGGTAATTTTCCATGAGTGACAACGACCTCTTAAAACAAAATCGAACAAAAGGATGTGTTTTTAATTAGATACTTAAACCTATTAGCTAGATTACAGATTAATTTGCCTGGAAATAACAGATGCGGTAATGGTTCGGTGTTTTGTTACGCCATAACCTATCCCCAACACGTTTGCATTTTAGCCCTGCTGACTTGGGGTAGGGATTAATCGGAAATTGCAAATCTTTGCATGTTGTTTCTGCACTTTATGTTGTTTATACAAGATCAAGGGTGAATAATGCCTGACGTGTTGTTTATTCTATGTTTCCTCTCTGCAAGCTCTACAATCTTTATTGGTCACCGAGTAAAATCTAGCCAAAACGTGACCGCCGGTCAGTAGTGCTTTTGACTTCGTATCGTCTTAAACGAGGTGATTGTTTTGGTGTTTAACAGCACAGCAACACAAACAGGCTATTTGGGGGGTAAAGTGCCTTTCCCAAGGATGCTCCATGGTAACCAACTCGGGGAGATCCGATGGTACCATCAAACCCGCAAGCTTTCGCCGCGAGCTCGGTTCTATTAGTCACCTCTTGCCCTATGCAGGATTAAGTGTGTGTGTGTGTGTGTGTGTGTGTGTGTGTGTGTGTGTGTGTGTGTGTGTGTGTACATGCATACACGAATTAACACACCATGTGATGTGTGCCGTGACTCGGGTTCGAATCTCCGTATAGCACGAATTAAAATTCTCTAACCTGGATGATATTATTTATTGGATTCAAAAGCGATGTTAATGATGTCAAACATTCTTTTGTATGATTTTGGGAAAGCACTTTCAGCTCAGGCGTGTCTTTCCCTCTGTGTGTGCGGATGAATCAAGAGAATAGATCAGTGATTTGCGGTTTATAAAACACACCGCTGAATCATGTATAATTTCTGATTTTGTAACTGTATCTTGTTTAAATCTAACAATAGCAATATGGTCCGTCGATCGCCCATTTGTCTCAACGTATAGATACAAAAATTGCTTGAAGCCCTAAACGATACATAAAGATATTAAATGGTTTCGATCCAGGAGAGAGTAAAATAGTTTTATTTCTTACATTCGATTAAGGAAATAATGGGATCGAGTTAAAATTAAAATAAACACTCATGATATCAGCTGTCTATTTAAATACAGTTTATAATCACATAAAACACGGTATAGTGTACCGGCTGATCAGGAGTTTTATTTCTTATTCCTCGCCCCCAACAAAAAATAATGCAGAGACCCAGACAAAATAAAGCGACCAAGATCTGCCTCCGTATTATGCAACTGTATATATGGGTCTGTTCAGTTAAAAGGTTGGGCCGACTTATAAGCTAGTAAAGACGACATATGGTATCAGTTCCATGTCAAAAATCTGCTATGAATAAAATTCGCGCGCGCGCGCGCGTGTGTGTGTGTGTGTGTGTAATTTGTATTTTTGCTCATTGCTCATATCCAAGTAAACCATAGTCACAGTGTATTGCTTATATCTAAGTCACAGAGAGTATGCTGTTTATATCAGTGACGTTTTAAGGCATAGGCACGTGAGTTACGTGCATAGGGCCCCGCGCAACTTTCGGTGTCGGTTGTTAGCAGTTTAGTACTATATTAATAATTTTAACAAAATGACACACGTGATCATGGAAATGCAATGCAATACTCTATATCTGAGTCTGAGAGACTGAGGCGCAATTCTGGTTACTTTTAAGGTTAGAGTTTGTGCCAAAGCCCCAAAACTTCTTAACACGGCTCTGGTTCATATTTAGTCACAGAGAATGTCTTTTTCATATCCAAGTCACAGAATGTACTGCTCATATCCAAGTCACACATAATAATGTACTTCTTATATTTCAAGACAGAGTACGCCTCATATCCGAGGCACAAAGAGTATGCTTATCATATGCAAGTAACACAGAGTTCACAAACACAGCCACAATTGCTAACAAATATATCACACAAACATGAATGTCAGGGACAATACGTCCCATATACATGATCTTGTAAATATGGAGTGGTGTGGTGTTTATAATTTTTAACATAACTTTAACAATTTTTCAGTCATATCGCTACGATGTCTGCAGTGTGGCAGTTTATAGTGATTTCTAGCACTGGGACATCATGCCGCAGACATGTAGCATGATGTCCCACCCAGTCACATTATCCTGACACCAGACTGACCAGTCCTAACACTAATCTCTTAATGCTGAGCGTCAAGCGAGGCAGCTGTTAGTACCATTTTTATAAGTCTTTGGTATGACTCGACCGGGGATCGAACCCACAACCTCCCGCATCCAATGCGGACGCTCTAACCACTAGGCCACCGGAGCGGTTGTAAATGTGAATATCCTCGGTAAAACCTCCCACAGATCTGACCTTGTGTCCACGGCAAAATGGCACACATACCCGACCTTGTATCCACGGTAAAACGTCCATAATACCGGACCTTGTACTGATTAATACTGATAACTTAACTTGCCATTTTTAATCATAATCATAAAACCCATAAACGAATGCAACATGGCCAGTTGCTTTTGCTTATGCTATTATT